AAAAAAGTATCAAGGTCATGAAAGACTAAGACTATTACAGATGGTGGGAGACTAAGGGGAAAGAACCAAGATCCTGGATAAGATCCTGGAACAGACAAAGGATGATTGTGGGAAAACTGGTGAAATCTGAATGACGTCTTTAGTTAATAGTGGTGTCTCCATGTTTAATGATTCTTTTTTTTTTTTTGAGTTGGAATCTCACTCTGTCATCCAGACTGGAGTGCAGTGGCCGCTGCCGGCCACCGCAGCCTCGACCTGCTGGGCTCCGGCGGCGATCCTTCCACCTCAGCCTTCCAAGTAGCTGGAACTACAGTTGAGCGCTACCACGCCCGGCTAATTTTTTGATTTATTGTAGAGATGAGGTCTTGCCAAGTTGCCCAGGAGGGTCTCAAACCCGCGGGCTCAGGCAATCCACTCACCTCAGCCTCCCAAAGCGCTGGAATTACAGGCTGAGTCATGGAGCCTGGCCTTTTTTTTTTTTTTTTTTGAGTTGGATTCTCACTCTTGCCCAGACTGGAGTGAAGTTGGCACGCTTACAGTCACCACAGCCTCCACCTACTGGGCTCAGGCAGTCCTTCCGTCTCAGTCTTCCAAGTAGCTGGAACTACAGGCATGCACCACCACGCCCAACTAATTGTATTTTTTGGGTATGTGTAGAGACGTGGTCTCCCCAACTTGCCCAGGCTGGTCTCAAACCCTTGGGTTCAGGCAATCCTCTTGCTTCCGCCTTCCAAAGTGTTGGGATTATAGGCATGAGCCATCACATCCTGCCAATTTATTGATTCTGATTGTTGTACCGTGATTCAGTAAAATATTAACATTAGGGGATGCTGAGTGAGAGATATAGGGAGACTACTATTTTTGCAAAATTCTCTTTCTTTTTGAATCGGGAGTCTTGTTCTGTTCCCCAGGCTAGAGTGCAGTAGCCTGATCACAATTCACCACAGCCTCGAACTCCTGAGCTCAAGCAGCCCTTCTGCCTTAGCTTCCCAGCTGGGTTTACTGTCACACATCTGGCTATTTAAAAAAATTTTTTTTTTGAGTTGGAGTCCCACTCAGTATCCCAGGCTGGAGTGCAGTGGCACGCTGATGGCCACCCCTGCATCGACCTGCTGGGCTCAGGCGATCCTTCCGCCCCAGCATTCCAAGTAGCTGGAACTACAGGCATGCGCTACCATGCCCGGCTAGCTTTTTGATTTATGGTAGAGACGAGGTCTCGCCAAGTTACCCAGGCTGGTTTCGAACCACAGGACTAAGGCAATCCTCTTGCCTTGGCCTCCCAAAGTGCTGAAATTATAGGCTTGAGCCACTGTGCCTGGCCTCGCACTTAATATTAGGGGCTAGTATTGCCCAGACCATAGTTGAGACTATAACCATTTCCTTATGTTCTTCACTTATTCATTCGACAGATATTCAAACTGGTATCTATGTGCCAAGTCTTAATGAGCTCTACTTGAATTATTTGTCCTCCAACCCTCATCCGGTAGGCACTATTATCACCTGTACTTGTTTATTCTTTGTCAGCGGTTCTTTTAATATCAGTGTAATATTCCATCATATCTATTTTTACTTGTGATGCTGACCTCCCTCCTGAGATCCAGACCCACATATCTATCTGGATGTCCTCCCAGGAACATTAAAACTGGTAGTTTTAACCAATTAGCCCAGTGCCTTGCACCTAGTATGTCTTCCTATAAAAATGAGCAATTACTGGTCATTAATGTTATTTTTTAGCCCCTGCTATGTGATCCACCTCCTTTTGCTACTCTTGAGTGGGTTCCCAGAGTCACTTATTTTCTGTCAGCAGCCTTGGCCCTGGGTTAAAGACTTGATTTGTCATCCCTGTGGGGAGCCCAGAGGAGAATTCAGTTTGGTTCTCCCACCTGCAGGGAAGAACTGAAGCAATGAAAATGAAGACTCTCCCATGCAAGCCCATACTACCCTAAACAATCAGTTTGGTGGGGAGAGTTTGTTAGCAGTATGCAGGACATAGAGCTCCCAGGGCAGCCCCCCTGGATGTGCCAGCAAATGATTCCTGGGGCCTGGCTGGTGCTTCCTGACACTGCAAGGGCCTGTGCAGGAGAGCTAGATTTATGCTGTTTATATAGTTATAGCAACAGTGTCTGCTGAGCGCTCCAGAATTGTGATTCACATTTCTAGAGGCTGCAGTAGGGAGCATTTGGAGACCATAATCAGGTAAACAGGGCAGCGGGTAATACCAGCAAGCTGGGGCTTGCTTGGCCCGGGTGCCCGTCTGGCACCAACCGACCTGGGCGCCCTCTCCGTGGGGACAGTCAAGGTGGAAGCTTGAGAGGGTCTGTTTGTATCAATTAGCCCAGTGCCTTGCGCCTGGTACGTCTTCCTGTAAAAATGAGCAATTACTGGTTATTAATGTTATTTTTAAACCCCTGCTATCTGATCCACCTCCTTTTGCTACTTGTGTGGGTTCCCAGAGTCACTTATTTTCAGTCAGCAGCCTTCGCCCTGGGTTCAAATCCTAGTTTTGCCTCTAACTATCTAGGTTGTATTAGCAGGTGGATCTATTATGCTGAGTGTCTCAGTTTCTTCGTCTGTGTAGTGTGGGTATCCAATGATATCTAACACATATGGGGTGATTATTGTTCGGTTAAAACACATGAAATTGTCTTTATTTGACCCCTAAGAGCTATTTTAAAATATAATTTATTATTATTATTTTTGAGTTGGAGTCTCACTTTGGTGCCCCAGGCTGGGTTCAGACGATCCTTCCTCTTCAGCCTTCCAAGTAGCCTGAACTACTGGCATGCGCTACCACGCCCAGCTAATGTTTTATTTATTGTAGAGAATGATATTGTGGGGTCTCGCCAAGTTGCCCAGGCTGGTATCGAATCCCTGGGCTCAGGCAATCCTCTTGCCTCTGCTTCCCAAAGTGGTAGGATTATAGGCGTGAGCCACCGCGCCCGGCCAAGCTTTACATGTATTAAACGCGCTTAAACTCAACAACCCTGTGAGGTAGGTACAATCAGTCACAATAATTCTTTTTTGTTTTTTGAGTTGGAGTCTCACTGTCGCCCAGACTGGAGTGCAGTGGCCGCTCCCGGCCACCGCAGCCTCGACCTGCTGGGCTCCGGCGATCCTTCCGCCTCAGCCTTCCGAGTAGCCGGAATTACAGGCGCGTGCTACCACGCCCGGCTAATTTTTTTTTTTTTTTTGATTTATTGTAGAGATGAGGTCTCGCTGCCCAGGCGGGTCTCGAACCCGCGGGCTCAGGCAATCCACTCACCTCAGCCTCCCAAAGGCGCGGGATTACAGGCTGAGCCACCGAGCCCGGTTAGTCACAATAATTCTAAAGAGAAGTAGAAGCATATGGTGGGAAAGTGCAGGCAACCTAAGAGACCTCCACAAGTGTTTCAAAAGTTTGAAACATAGAGATCAGTATATGTAATTGATTCAGTGCCAAACAGGAATACCCGATGGGTGTTCGAAACGCGATCTCCTGGGGCGCCACACTCCGCGTGTACTAGGTCGAAGGGCAGTCCCTCTCAGGACCGGGGCGGGACCCAATTCTCGCGCCTGCTGACCAGCGTCTACGTGGTTTGCCGGGGAAGGCGCGCTGGGCGCTGCCGCCTCAACCAGTCTTGTTAGAGCAGGGGGAGCTCGACGAACAAAAGCGTTCTGAGTGACCGCCACCATAGCCACTCAGCACCGAGATCAGACAAGCGCCTCCGGTTAAAGCCGAACTTCCAACTGGTGGAGTAGGCTAAGGGGGACGGAGTGGAGCGGAAAAGTCCCGCCTCCTTTGGCATTTTCAGCCAACCGCAGCGTCTGGGAGGTATTAGGTTGCACTGCGCGTAGTTGTCTGGGAGGCCTGAGGGGCGGGCGGGGCGGGGAGCTGGTTGGGGGTGGCGGGGAGGAGACGCTTCCCGCGAGCGAGCGGAGTGAGGACTCTGACAGCCACGCGCGCGCGTGCGCGCCCGGCCCCAACGCGGCCCCGCGACCCTCGTCGGCCACTGATAGGCGCACGGGGTCTGGGCCGCTGCCGTCTGGGATTCCCGTTCCGAGGCGTCCCCGGCCTGAGTCCCGGAGCGCCAGGTCACGCCCGCCCCGTCTGTCCCGGCTCGCGTCCTTACCTCGCCGCCGTCAGGGCCCGCCCCCCACCTCCCCTTTCCGCCCGGGGCAGGGTCCTCGCGGCCCATGCTGGCCGCTGGGGACTCGCACAACCTAGACCGTTCTCGGGCCGGCCAGCCGGCCACCATGGTGGCCCCGAGGCCTGTGCAGCAACTCCAGGGGGGCTAACAGGCCCAGAGCGCAGGCCTTGGGGCGCCAGGGTCCCGGGCCTGAGCCTCGCGCCATGGCCGGGGCCATCGCTTCCCGCATGAGCTTCAGCTCTCTCAAGAGGAAGCAGCCCAAGACGTTCACCGTGCGGATCGTCACCATGGACGCCGAGATGGAGTTCAATTGCGAGGTAACCGGCCGGCAGCCCCGACGGTCCGCGGCGAGGGGGAGCTGGAAGGAATCCCCGCTTGCCGGGCCCGGGCGCGCGTCTGGCACGGAGTTGGGCACCCTCGCCGCGCTGACAGTCGAGGTGGAAGCTTGAGAGCTGCTGTTTATTTCATCTTGGCATAGCTGGAGGCAGACAGAACCGGAAGGGGCCAAGTAGGCCCAAATCCGCATGTTAGAGAGGATTGCTGCTTTTTTCATAGGACTTTTGAGTTTAGCACTTCCTGAAGGTTGTTTCATTCATTGTTAATGGAAGAGCCTGGAAGCTTCTGTGGTAGCAAATTCAGGATTTCAGTGTCAGGCTTAAGCTTAAACTCTAGAGAGTGTTTTTTTTTAATTTCACTAGGTAGTTTGTTATGTACCCAGGTATTAAAAGTTGCATCTAGTTTATTGGAAAACCTATACTTGTTTCCAGAGCTTATATATTCTGGAAAAAACTCTGAGGAAAGAGATGTTTTATACTCATTTGTTGAATACTTTCTAAGTACCAGACATTTGCACGTTTAATTCTCACAACAAGCCGGGCTTGGTGGCACAGCCTGTAATCTGCGCTTTGGGAGGCTGAGGTGAGTGGATTGCCTGAGCCCGCGGGTTCGAGACCCTCC